AGGTAAGAAGCAAACACAAGAAGCAAGCCTGCATGTTTGCAGTGGACAGGAAATGTGAACACGTCACACAACTGCTGTGGGCAAAGCTACAGGAGCTGTTTGAGGTTTCTATAAAAGGAAAGGAAGCACAGAGAGGCCACAGTCAGAAGAAACACTCTGCTCTTATCTGTATTAAAATAATAAACTGTAACGTATCTGGCTGATATTGACCCTCTTGTCCCGTTTATTCTGGGCTCGTTCCTGTAAGAGCTTTGGGCCTGAAAGTTTGCACAAGTAGTGTAGAGGCCCTTAGTGGTTACTCGGTGGCTTTTACTCGCTACATATTCCTAACATACCTTCATATTGTGTACATTGTAACATTCCCATAATAAACCAATATTTTGTATGTCATACCTATAATAGACCCATTTTTGTAATATATCTATATATCTATATTATTGCTAATATATATTTTGTAATATATCTATATTACGGCTAAAGAACTTTCTGGATGGATGCAGACTGCATTTCGTTGCCTTGTACTTGTGACATGTGTAATGACAATAAAGTTGAATTCTATTCTATTACTTTAACTTTTCTGCAATGTGTTATACTTAACTCCATTCTTAATAAAAATTGCACATCCTCCTCCATTTCCACCAACTGTCTTTGTAACAAAACAAGTTCCACTGGATCACAATGGCAAAATATAAGAACATAAGTATAGAGGTTCTAGAGCAGGGTTCCTTTGTAAAGCTGCAGTTGCAGGCTGAAATACTTACAATGAGCCATAATTTACTTTCAAAGATGCAGTCAGTTCAACAATCAGCTCAGATTAGTCTCTCTATTATAAACTGCTTTACTATAAACCTGAACTCTGTGTGGAACAGCTGACTCTACAATGTGCAGAAGAGCACAAAACTGTCATGGTTAGTTAGGTGCAGGACTCAAAACTGGTGAAAAGTGAAAAGGTTTCTCACTCACATCCACTCAGGGGTCCAGGGAAGTATGTACAAGGAGAATATGTAATAGTTATAGAGAAGCATAGGAAACACGAGGAATCAACTAGGTGGACTGGGGATACACTGACACAGGTTAGCACAACGATCCAGCAAAGAAGCAGACTCCACTGAAGCCTTAAACTGGGTGGAGGAGGCACCACTAGGGAAGTATTTGATTTGTTCGACTCTAGTAGCGCACTATTGACTATATGTAATCAGAATCAGAATCGTGTTTATTGGCCAAGTATATGTGCAGACACATACAGGGAATTTGGTTCCGGTAGATGGTGGCTCACAAGCACAACAATGTAAATCACACGCACACGTGTCTATATATACCTTACACATGCGTACACATACATGCACAAAGCTGTGTAAGCCAACTATAAATAACGATAATATAATGTAATATGTGTTTGGATTCTAGATGAGATGCTGTGTTTGATATAATTTATTTAACCTGTAGAATCAAACGCAGAGGAACACAAATACATTTAACATATCAGTGTAGAAACAAACTGGTTTGGAAAAGGTGCAGAGAGAAGTCATGTAGATATGAATATAAAATAGAGTAAAGGTGTCAGACACAGTGGGAAAGAGAGGGTAGTTTTATTACACAGAGCAGAGGGACACTGTAGGTCCTACAGTGTAGGAGAAGGAATAGAAGGTGTAATGTGAAGAGTAAGATTTGGTCACACAGGTTTAAATAACACTGTCAAACAGACGTATAAGCACGAGACAGGAAGTGTAAATGTTGTGGAGGAGACATCTGAACATGAAGAGTGTGGTCAATAAAAGAGGGAAACGTGAAAAATATACATCACAGAGGAGGACACGTGATGAAATTTATAGGCAGTGTTTTTATGAGAATACAGGTGTACACGCTTTTCCGATCCGCTCTCCAGTCCAAGAGGTGGCGATAATGCACCTGACGCAGTTTCCCTACCGCCATAAAATTATAGAAGAAGAAGAAGAAGAAGAAGAAGAAGAAGCGCTTTTATTTTGAAGTACGGCTCTTCCGTGGTGTTTGTGCAGTTTGATAGAAGGAGGCTGGAGTCTGCGGACACTGCTGTTCCGGTAAATCTCTTGCTTTCTGAATTTTTTGGGGAGTTTGCTGATTCCCCAATTGTACACGCGTGTTTCCCTTTAATTGTTCTGATTACATTGAACTCTCCACGCGTGTGTTCACGTAGCTTCCGATAGGCTTGTTCACAGGTTACAGTTCCAAAGTTCGTGTGTTTGTGACACTCTGAATACGAACTGACCAGGCTCTGTGTGTGTGTGTGTGTGTGTGTGTGTGTGTGTGTGTGTGTGTGTGTGTGTGTGTTGAACGAGCTCTGTGCTGTGTTACTTCTGATGCGTAAGTAATGGACTTGTGTCAAGCCAGCCTCCAGTTTTTTTTACGTTCCCTGTGTATTCAAAGTATTACGGGAATGGATGTGGAAACCGGATTTCAAAATAAAAGCCAACTTCGAGTGAATTAACAGATATGTTAAGAACATAATAACATATAATTTAGGCTTGTTTACAAACTCTAATGTTAGATCTACATGACACATTGTACCCTAATAGCGCCCTGTCAATATCAAGGCCATCTTATTTTGGATTTCGAAGTAAAAGCCCTGTGAATTTTCATTTTTGAACTACTTTTTCAGTGACTTCAGAATGCTCTTATGAGCAAAAGTCATATTTCCAAAGAATAGTTGCATTTTATATCAACACTATCCAACCACAGAAATTTGAAATTGCCCATATTTGACTTACTCTTCTAAGGATTTCAAAATGCTCTAAAAAGAAAAATTCTTGTTTCCATAGGATAATTTCACTCTGTATTTACAGTATAATGCCCCACAGTGATACCATGTCAATATCAAGTCAGTCTTATTTTACTTTCCAAAGTAATGGCCCATTGAAATTGCCCATATATGACTTACTTTTGTAATGATTTCGAAATGCTCTAAATAGAAAAAAAATCCTGTTTGCACAGGATAATTTCACCTTAGATCAACAGTATACAACCTCACAATGTTACCATGTCAATATCAAGTCAGTCTGATTTTGCCTTTTAAACTAATGGCCTGTTGAAATTGCCCATTTAAGACCTAACTTTCAGTGGTTTCAGAATGCTCTAAAACGAAAATTGCTGTTTCCACAGGGTAATTCCACTTTAGATCAACAGTATACAACCCCACAGTGACACCATGTCATTATCAAGTCAGTCTGATTTTGCCTTCCAAAATAAAAGCTGTTTCAAATTGCCCATACATACCTTACTCTTGGAACGAATTCAAAATGATCTAAAATGGAAAGTTCCTATTTCCACAGGATAATTCCACTTTAGATCAACAGTATACAACCCCAAAGTGATACCATGTCAAGATCAAGTCACTCTGATTTTGCCTTCCAAAATAAAAGCCTTTTCACGCTGCCCGTACACAACCTACTCTTTTAACGATTTCAAAATGCTCTTAAATTTAAATTTGCTGTTTCCACAGGATGAATCCATGTTAGATCAAAAGTATCCAATCCCACTGTGATACCATATCAATTTTGAGTCAGGCTGATTTTGCTTTCCAGTATAAAAGACTTTTCAAATTGACCATAAAATATATACTCTTTAAACGATTTCAAAATGCTCTTAAATTGAAATGTGCTGTTTCCACAGGATAATTCCACTTTAGATCAACAGTATCCAACCCCGACAGTAAAACCATGTAAATTTCAAGTTGGTCTGATTTTTGCCTTTCAAATTAATGGCCCGTCAAATTTGCCCATATGTGATATACTCTTTCAATTATTTCAGAATGTTTTAAAAATGAAAATTGCTGTTTCCACGGGATAATTTCACTCAAGATCGACAGTATACACTATCACGGGGATATCAAGTCAATTTCAAGTCGCCTTGATTTTGCCTTTCAAAGGAATGGCCCGTTGAAATTGCCCATGTATGACCCACTCTTTCACTGACTTCAGAATCCCATTAAAAGCAAAGTTGCTGTTTCCACAAGCTCATTTCACTCTACATTGACAATATACAACCCCACAGTTTTATCACGTCAAATCATGATTATAATTGTTTATTTGGTACTTTTAATAATTAAATGCGGATGCTGTTAACAGGACAATTACTGTTTCCACTAAGTAATTGGAGTTCATGCAAAACATACACAACCTCTACAGTGGTAACATCTCAATCTCAAATCAATCTCATTCTGTATTTCAGAGTAAAAGCCTTTTGACTTTGTTTATAGGAGCTTCTCTTTCCATAACTTCAGAATGGCATTAAATGGAAAGTTCCAGCTTCCATGTAATCTTTGGGGTCGTTTGGGGGCGCTTTGGGGTCCTTAGGGACTAGTAAAGCGCTATATAAATACAGGCCATTTACCATTTACCATTTAATCTAACAGTGGAGTCGGTGACCATACATGGGGGGAAACATGTTTAAAATGAAAATGTTGAAAAGGTCCTTAAAAAGAAGAAAAGATATTAATTTCTGCAACTGAAGACTTTCATAAATGCTGTAGAATCTGTTAGCTTCATCCATCCATTCACTTCCACTTATCCAGGGTCATGGGGGGTGCTGGAGCATATCCCAGGGAGAGGCAGGGTACACATAGCGAGAGGCAGGGTACACATAGCGAGAGGCAGGGTACACCCTGGACAGGTCCCCAGTCTGTTGCAGGGCTAACACACAGGACCTTCTTGCTGTGAGGCAACAGTGCTAACCAAGCACACGGTAAAGTAAAATTTTTAGCTATTAGATCAGCTCTAGTGCATATGATCACAAAGTTAAAATTTGAATATAGAGAAAACAGAGCTGGTTCGACAGAAACAACACAACTTTGTCAGGTTGGGGAACAGCATTTCTGGAACATTACTGAGCAGCATGGGGGCTCTAGAGGGATTGTCCTGGCTCCACTTCTTATCATATTGTATACAGCAGACTTCAAATGTATATCTTTAGTCTTGCAAAATCCAGAAATACTGAGATGACACTGCAATTGTAACGTGTTTCAGGAATGGGCAGGAATTTAAAGACTGGGACCTTTTCTTGCCTTGAGCAACTGGATTCCAAAAATTATCTGCAGGCTTTTCAATTCTCATACAAATAGCAGATGAGCTAGGAATTTTTCTCTGTAATCAGAAAAATTATTGTAATTATTGTTTTTGTACGTAAGGCATTGTCTGGCACCTCAGTTTTTTTATAAAAATTGTTCCCGATTTATCTATGACGCTAGATTACACGAATCAATTAGCTAAACTAAAATCATAATGCCATGGTGACCTGTAATATTCGGCTTCAAAATTCAAACATAACACAATTACCAAAGGCCTTCGAAACATGGTGTCTAACCAGATACTTGCTGAGAAAAAACATTGCCTTGGCCCTGGTGTGGGTCAGTAGATGTTTTAAATTGCAGTCTCAGATAAATGAGAATTTGGCTCCCTGGCACTTTCATCTCGCATGATGACATTTGGTTGATAGTTCTTAAACCGTGATGGTGTTGACTTCATCAATACAGGAGCCAGACAAAATAAGTTCCATAACATAAGCATCTTGTCTGGCTTCAGAAACAGAGTGTGGATGTTACTGGGCAAGTCCTGAGAACACTGGCTGATACCACCATAACCTGTAACCTTCCTTGCCCTGGTCTATTTTCTCAAGTTCTATGTAGCATAACCAGGCCAGAAGTCATAATCAAGTTGGAGGTGTTTGTCAGGTTTAAAGCCACAAAATACAGTGATGTTTGGAGGCCATTGCCTGGTGTGGAAGAGGAAATGGAGAGATGCAAACTGAATCCTTTTGAGAATTTTTTCACCTCATATACTGTATGTCAAGGCTGCTGACTGGTTGCCTGTCCCCTTAATCCCAGTAATGATCTTTATTAATTCCTGCGCATCCGTCATGCATTTTTACTGACATTTGAGCTCCAGGCACTGATATTGTATTAGTTATTGAATATCAGTGCCTGTACCCTTTAATATCCTTGATCCTCAGTTTTCCCAGTCACACTACCTGAGTACTTTTGATACTAAACATATTGGGTTTTCATTCTGAAAAACAATATTAGACTCAATTATGACAGAATTGAATCATAAAAGATGATGTAAAAGGAAGCTGAAATTGCTAGTAAGTCGTAATTGATAGTACGTCCATATTTCAAGTCTGTGGAAAGATGTAATTTCTACATAATATCATTATAAATAAAGAAATTACAAAACGGCTTGTAAAACATTTACAGGGGAATTATTTTTAAATCAAAAATAAAGACTTGATTTTCACAGTGTACAACTTTGAGGGAGTATATTATTGATTTAGAGAAAAATTTGTCCATGGAAACAGGGATTTTCCTATTTAACTGTCACGGCTGCGAGGGCAGACGTGTGGAGGTGAGGTAAGGACCCAACCGCAGGCACTGACTTTAATGATATGAGTGAGCTTTATTGTGGAGAAGAACAAACAACGAAAGGCGAGGGTGGCGAGAACATAACAGAGAAAACGTAAACTGGGAAAAACTACGAATTAACCAACAAACCTGAAGGCAAGGAGACGGAGAGCGGAGGTACATCCAGTGACAATCAACAAATGGGAAACAGGAGGGAGACACAGCTGGGAGAAATTAGGCTGACGAGGCAGGGGAAACGTAAACAGAATGCACTGACAACAGACAGGGACCTTCAAAGTGAAACAGGAAACTCAAAACACACGCGAAGACACAGGCTCAACAACGTGAACTAAACACAGAGACCTTACTACACAAAAGGGGACACACAGGCAAGGATAACACCAATAGAAGAAACACAACTAAACCCCGGGAAACCGAAACACAACAGTCATAATACAAAAATCAAAAGTAAAAAGCACAACAACCAAAAACACTGGGTCACCGACCCAGGACCGTGACATTAACAGCATTCTCAAGTCACAGAAAAGTATGGTCACCGACTCCACTGTCGGCAATGAATTAATGAATTAATGAGTATTAATCCATGAATTAATACCAGTTGGCATGAAATGGTATTAATTCATGGAAGCTGGAACTTTCCATTTAATGCCATTCTGAAGTTATGGAAAGAGAAGCTCCTATAAACAAAGTCAAAAGGCTTTTACTCTGAAATGCAGAACGAGCTTGATTTGAGATTGAGATGTTACCACTGTAGAGGTTTTGCATGAACTCCAATTACCTAGTGGAAACAGTAATTGTCCTGTTAACAGCATCCACATTTAATTATTAAAAGTACCAAATAAACAATTATAATCATGATTTGACATGATAAAACTGTGGGGTTGTATACTGTCAATGTAGAGTGAAATGATCTTGTGAAAACAGCAACTTTGCTTTTAATGGGATTCTGAAGTTTTATTTAGAAGTCATGCTTCAGGAGCTTTTATTATGAAATCAGGTTTCCACATCTTTTGCCATAATACTTTGAATACACAGGGAATGTAAAACAAAGTGGACGCTGGCTTGACTGCAATGCTGGAATTGGAGGCTGGCTTGACACCAGTGTGAATGGCTCCACTTTGCTCATAATAAGTTCTATTTCCTTGCTCTTCCAACTTTATAGTGTGTCTGTGTGTTGAGTCATGGATCCAGATGTCACCATCATCTTCTTGGGAAACACCGGGGTGGGTAAAAGTGCTTCAGCTAACAACATTATAGGGCGACGTGTATTTCCATCAAAGGCTTCCTTTCATCCTGTGACAAAACAAATCAGTGAGCAAACAGAACATGTGTTTGGGAAGCACATCAGAGTGGTCGACACTCCAGGAATATTAGGATCAGAGGAGCTGATTAAAACTTTCTGTCAGGACCTCCCACAGCCCTTCATGCAGCTTTTGTTCCTGGTTGTGGTCAGAGTTGATCGGTTCAGTGAAGAGGACCAGCAGGCTGTGGAGGCGGCCGTCAGTATCATCGGAGATCAGAACTTTAGGAAGGCCTACCTCCTCTTCACATGTGGGGACACCTTAAAAAACAGAATGCTAGGAGATGTCCTACATGAGAATAGTTCACTTCAAACAGTTGTTGAGAAGTTTGAAGGGAGGTATCATCTGTTCAACAACCAGCACGGAGGACAAGAACAAGCTGAAGAACTGCTGCTGAACTTCCTCCAACCAGGTACCACCTTCCATAGTCTCCACATGCATTTCACCCTGTTTACACCTTCTTTCATCAGTCTTCTGTGTTGCAAATGTCTGTTATATGTGAAAATGCAACATGGAAATGTAGCAAGGCAGATTTAATGTATCATGAATCATAAAATAACCATTTTTATTTAATGAATCAGAGGGGAAAATAAGCTAAAAATCGATTCAATCCATAGTTTTCACATCACATCAGAGCTAATGGGACATGCTCATCTGGTGGGCAAAACAGTACTGCTGTCCTTTGCCAACCATCCCCTGCCTGCTTCTCCACAGCGACCCAGCTGTCAGTGTGGCTAATTTAAACTATAGGAATGATTTACCTGACATCAGAAAACAACTTGGTCAACTTTACTGTTATGACATGAGAATAATGTGACAAATTAGTACTACTGGAACGTTTCTGGCCCCACACTGTAAAAGTCTTAAGTCAACAAAACATAAGCTTTGTGTTTAAGTTAGCTTTTTAGCCCTTATCTTTGCTTTAATGATGAACAATTTCTTGTACCTACATGGAAGCACTATTTCTCAATCCAGATTGAAAATACATGTAGTATTCCATACTTTGAAATGTTTCGTTCTCGCAGCAGTTTAGGGTGACACACATAGATGTCACTGAACCAGAGCTCTGGGAGAAACGTTGCCACTTTCAGGGATCAACACACAGTATGGCTTAAAAGCCATCCATCCATCCATTCGCTTCCGCTTATCCTTTTCAGGGTCGCGGGGGGTGCTGGAGCCTATCCCAGCTGTCATAGGGCGAAAGGCGGGGTACACCCTGGACAGGTCGCCAGTCTGTCGCAGGGCTAACACATAGGGACAGACAACCATTCGCACTCACATTCACACCTAGTGGCAATTTGGATTATCCAATTAACCTATCCCCACAAGCTGCATGTCTTTGGACGGTGGGAGGAAGCCGGAGTACCCGGAGGGAACCCACGCAAACACGGGGAGAACATGCAAACTCCACACAGAAAGACCCCGGCCTGATGGTGTAATTGAACTCAGGACCTTCTTGCTGTGCGGCAACAGTGCTAACCACCGCGCCACCGTGCTGCCCCGTGGCCAAAGAATAAAAATGGCTTTTAAGCAGGTTTTAATGTTGGGAAGGTCATCATATGGAGGTTATTTGTTACACAATTGAGGAGCAGTTATTGAAAGACCTGATCAGAGCACCTCTGCTCACCTTTGCCCTTTGCATTTGCTCAGCAGTCGTCAGTAATCTGTTGAAATGTGCAAGCATAAAAGGTCAAAGAGGTAAGGGTGTGTCCACCTGTGCAACATCTGAAAAACAAGTCATAAAATTTCAGAGTTGAGAGCAGGTTCACCCTGAGCAGGTGACAGATGGGGAAGGGTCTGGAGAAGCTGTGAAAAACGTTATGCTGCTCTAACACCATTCAGCATGAAGAGGTTTCTGATGGTTAGTGATGGTCTAGGCAGGCATGGAGGAACACACAGACCTGTACAGGTAACCACACCCTGACTGTCATTAGGTGTCAGGATGAAACCCTTGGACCACTGTCAGACTCTGCCCCGGTGCAGTCGGTCCTGGGTTCTACTACTGAGCATCATTCTAAATTGCTGTGCTGAAATTTCAGGAAAATAAACCAGCCTGCTGCATCATTTTTTTTGATGCAGCAGGCTGTCTGTCTTTGAATTCTTTACTGTACTGAAGCAGACTTTACTGGTAAGACAGGAGAGGAAGTAGAGTGGTTAGATTTTAATCTAAAGCGATAGTAACTTTGTGTTACTCAAATGTTGCATGAAAATACTTGGTAGGTTTGTCCAGGATAAATAGAATAGAATAGAGTTCAACTTTATTGTCATTGCACATGCACAGGTACAGGGCAACGAAATGCAGTTTGCATCCATCCAGAAGTGCTTTAGTGATATAGATATATTACATTATATATTAGCAATAATATAGATATGTAAGTATATTACAGAAATGGGTATGTTATAATGTACACGGTATGAAGTATGTTGTGAATATTCTATAACTATAGGTATGTACAGGCTGTAGTGAGTACAAGCTATGTACAGGATATGAACAGGATAAAACTATACAGGATATGAAATAAATAACTTTACAGAAATCTGAGAATTACAGCTATACAGAAATGGGAATTATGCAAGTTGTAAACAGTTGTAGGGTTAAAAATTATCGTATGTACAGAATGATTTATTTACAGAACTATACAGTAGTGCAGTTAAGATAAGTGAGATATGTGGATAATTTCTACAGAGGCTATATAAAGTGCTAGTGGTTGTGAGTGG